GGGTGGGGCCTTCCCGGGGCAGGGCGGAAACTCCGGGCCGGGGCCGGCGTCGCCCTGGGCCGGGTCGCGGGGGCAGAGGAGCCCCCGCCGGGGCTGGGGCCGCGGGGGTCGGGGCAGGGCAGGCCGCCGGGGTGTCTGCGCTGCTGTGGGGGTTTGGGGTGTCACCCGGTGGCCTTGGAGGAGCAGCCTACGGTGTGACCTGGGTATTGAGCCGGGGCTGGGCTTGGGGAGGTGGTTGTGTGCGGGGATGTGCAGAGCTGTGCTTCTTTCACAGGACGGGCTGAAGCTGTGCCTGTCTGAATTCAGGCAGCAGCTACCTTGGGTGGAAAGGCTGGATGTGACTTTGGGCCAGGTCATCGATCCCGTCTCACCGAGTGCTTCTAACAAAGATGCTGTTGATCCTGAGAATGATTTCCAGAGAGAGATGAGCTTGTGAGTGTCAAAAAGGGAGATTTCTTGTAGGGTCTTGGCGTACTGCTGCACACTCAGAGTTGTGTTCCGTAGGTGTGCTGCAGACTGCCACACTGGCTGTCACCAGTATCATGTCGCTCTTGGGCCATGTATTTTATGTTTGATGGCTCTGAATGTTTTCCAAACTAACTACAAATTAATGCTAATACATTTAACTTGTCTTGTGACTGGAAATAACTTCCCTCCTTGCAGCAGACTTCCATCCTTTGCTGAAAAGTTTGTTTAGAAAGTTCCTTGGTTGCAGCATTATGGTTTTAGCACAGGATGTGGATTTTCCTTTGTGGATTTGTTTTAGTGTTATTACAGTTCTCTTATTTTGCCTTGCCTTTTATAATTCAACATACAAAACTGTAACTGGAAACTAGATAAATGTATATGTGCAAGATACAAGCGTTAATATTGTACTGGCACCTAAATTGCTTTTAGTAGCACTGAGTGCCCTAGGGCACAGAATGTTGGTGTAATTTTGGATCAATGTATGTTAGATCCCAGCATCGGCTAGTTTATGTGAGCAGTTTCTGTCAGCGCTGTGAGATGCCCGATACCCAGTGACAGAGCTGGTGCTGTGCTGTCTCCCTAGTTACCGGCAGGCACAGGCTGCGGTGCTGGACGCCCTGCCTAGGTTGCGTAAGCTCCAGGTTCCTACTCGAAGGCCAGATGATTACTTTGCAGAGATGGCCAAATCAGACCAACAGATGCAGAAGGTACGTGCAGTGAATAATAGCTTGCTTTCCTGTGTTATGTGTTGGTTTTAGCCTGTATTAGGGATTAACTTTGAAGTGTGATGTGTGAATACTTACCTTCATCTCGTTGACAAATGCTTGCGACAATGTTTGTGTTTGAAATCTTGTTTGTGGCAGGAAATTTCCTCCTGTTTAGGTATTTCAGTGCAATGTGGGGGTTTCCATAACAGGTTGTAACATAAAGTAGAAAAGCACAATTTATATTCTGTCCTGAATGTATTTAGTATGAAAAATGGAGACTTTTTCTCCATATGTGTGACAGTGGTTGTGAAGTTGGCTGTGTTTATGCTCTTTGTCCTAAGACTTGCAGTCAACTATTCCCTATTTAAGTATCACCCTTTGTTTATACTTAGTGTGTATACTTTGGTTCTCTGTGATTTTTAAACTGTATGTTATTGAATTAATCTGTCGTGGGTAGTAATTCAGATTTGTGTGGGAAATAAGAATTTCACAAAGTTGCTTCTTGTTCAAAACAGAATCCTAATTTTTGTTTTAGTTTTGGGAAAAAAAAAGACTCCATTGTATAAGTTAAACAAACACGATCTGGAGTCTAATTTGCGGTTCATGTATGACTTGGTCACTGTTTTGATGACTGATAGAATCTTCCTAGAGAAGATGATGATTAATAATTACCTTGTGCTGAGACTTAAGTGAATTCTGCACATCACTGTTACCTTATTTTGCTGGCTTCTGTTTGAAGATCAGTTTTTATGTCCTAGTGCAGTCACAGACTGAATCCAGAAGATCTGTGTTGTAATTTTTGTAATCCCTTGTAACGTGGCATCCTTATAGAAATGGTTATGGACAAGGAAGGAATGATAAAGATGTTTTCTATGACATGAAAGGACTGTTGACTCTTTTTCAGTGCTTCTAATAATGGCAAAAAAAAAGATATCAAGTCATCTACATGCACCTGAGTAGACTGACAAGATACTCTTGTTTAGTGTTTCCATTAGAGCGCATTATAAGGCTTTGTCATGTCTCTGTGTGAGTTTTGTCTTGTTAACCAGATTTTGGCTACAGATCAGTTCAGGATTTTCAGTAATAGCTGTTCCTGCCTTGAGTTGAAAGGACATTATGTCTTACAATTTGTGAAAAAAAACAGCATCGTATCAGGGTGGTAGCCAGTGAGTAACTTTGGAGATACATTAAGCGTCATCTGATTGAGAGATGTTTCATATAATTCTTGATTTCAGAACTGCACAGCAGTCATAAAATTCTCATATTTTCTTTTGCGTTACTGATAATTTTTTTTTTTTCTGTCTCCTAATAAGATTCGACAGAAGCTTAAGAGTAAACAGGAAGCAATGGAGAGGTCTGAGAAAGCAAAACAGCTCCGTGCAATGAGAAAATACGGCAAGAAGGTGAGGAGGAGCTACAGAACAGATCTATGTGTGACAAGAATCTAGAGCCTGCGTGAGGAACTTAGACCGCAGGAGGTTGGCTAAAATATATGGAATCTCTCTAGTCTTCTGTGTAGCTGCTTTGAAAGAAGACAGAGCAAAAGATGGGATGCCTTAAAAAAAAAAAAAAAAGGATACAACAAGGAACAACACTAACATCACTAACATTCTGCTTCTAATCTTAGGTTCAAACTGAGATTCTGCAGAGGAGGCAAAAGGAGAAAAAAAATATGTTGAACGCAGTCAAGAAATACCAGAAAGGTAAAGTTAAATTGTCTAAGAGAGTAAATGTGTAATGGGAATAGTGATGTGTGAGCAATGTAAGGTAGCATGATGCATGATGTCAGTCTGTAGTGCTGGGCAGTGAGCTTGAAAGGCTGCTGCTGTGCGGAATCACATGCCAGTAGCAGTGAAAATCCTCTTCTTCAGTGAGGATGACTTGTTCCTATTGATTGTTTAGACTGAAAATTCATATTTTCTGTGGTGGTAGCTGAGCAATTGTTATGTCTTCGCTCTTGGCAGGACTCTCTGACAAGCTGGATTTTCTAGATGAAGAGCAGACATCATCTCAGGGGAATAAAAAAGGCAGTGCAAGTCAACGGATGAAGAAGGGGTGAGACCAGAAAAGAAAGATATTTAAATGCAGAATGCCTAATTCTTTCAGTCTTTTAGGGGATTGTTTTGTGGAACAAGAAAGCCATTCTGATTAATGTTCATTAAAATAAGTCTGAGGTGGTGTTCTGTCCCTATAGAGGAGGAAAATTGTGGCCAGAATGGAACAGAGACTGAAATGTCCTAATTTTTACCTCTTCTTAAGAGGACAAGGGTTTATGATGGCAGATGGGAATCCATCAGCAGATGCATATGCCTTCTTGAGAGTTTCCTGAGGAAAGGAATATAGGCGATAATGCTGTTTGGTTGGTTTTTAGACCAAATGCCAAAAGACGATACAAGAATCAGAAGTTTGGTTTTGGTGGGAAGAAGAAGGGCTCAAAGTGGAACACAAAGGAGAGTTTTAATGATGTATCCAGCTTCCGGCCAAAAGTGGCTCACAACAAAGGCCCAGGAAAAGCAGGAAAAGGAGGAAAGAAAGCCCTCAATGTAAGTAAAATGTTGCATACAAATGATCCTGGTTGGATAGGAAGCCAGCCTTGGTCTGGGAGGGAGAGCTGAGTACGCGATGAGTGCCTCCAGCATCTGGAAGTGACAATGTCTGTCTTTGGGAGCTGGGCATAATTCAGTTGCAGACAGAGCTGAGGACGGTGGTTCAGTATGTCAGCAGCAAAATGAGTGGGGGAGTTAGGAACTACTGTTTGTTGCTACCTGTGTCCTAAAACCTCCCTCTCGAGAGGTGCTGACAAATATCGTCTCCTTGGTGTGCTCCCCAAGTTATAGAGCTAGAACAAAGATTGAGGACGTGAAAATAAAGATCTGAATCTGTCCTTTCTTTGCAGAAGAGACCTGGAAAGAGAGCAAGGCAGAAAATGAAGAGCCGAGCACGATAAAAGGACTGCTCCACAGTGGGGTTCCTGTGTTTCTGTGTGTTGTAAGATGTTCTTGCTGTCATCAAGCAGCTAACCATGGAGCAAGCTGGCTGCTTCCAAGTGGTGAGAAAAAGAGTCGGTGGAAACTAGTGCCTTATCACTGATTTCTTCTTATCATCTGTTTTGTTGAAGGATTATTTTCTACTTAAACCTTCGGTGTGTGAACGCATTAAATGGTTTGCACAGAACTGTGTCTAATTCATGTTCAGTTGTGTTATGACTCTGAAGCCTACGCTTTGTTCCCTTCATTCTGACAGCTTTTTCCACAGCTACTGTTGACATGTACTTGGTGAACTTGAGTTCTGGGTCATGTTGCTGATGTCAGAATAAGAAGTCTGAAGCCTGTCAAGATGTTAAAGTGTTTTTTTAGACTATTCCTATAAATGGGTTTGGAAACAGCAGTGAGACAAATGCAGCAGTCTTATAAATAAGTTTATTTCTGTAACTATTGTCAGGCCGCAAATTTGACAGACTGAGGTTCTCTCTTCCCTTTTCTCGCCGTCTTCTCTTGCCAGAAATCTACCAGACTTGCCTAATAACAAGCAGGGCCTAAGATATTAGATATCACTAACTGCTGCTATCTAAGTTGTGTGGCTTTGCCACTATTACCGCAGGTTCTCAGACTGCTTCTCCCTGTGCCCTGTGGCAGCCATTTATTTAGTGATCTCAGTTCTCCGGCGTGGCAAGTAGAGTCTGCGATCAGTACGGTCCACATGAATCTGGGAAAGAAAAATGATGAACAGTCATGTGCTTTTACTAGAATTAGTAGCAGTAGTCTCTCATGAGAAGAGTGGTGTTCTTGCTGAGAAATCCCCAAGTGACAAATGAGTAGGATACCACTTATTTGAGTATGTACTGTTCACTGCTTCATTACGGTAGAACTTGGTGAAAAAGGAAAACTTGACGTATGAAACAGCAGCATGAGTCCTGACTATAAATTTAACT